AGCTCGCTAATAGTTTCCGATTTCGAAGAATTGTGCGATTCTTTTCGCGCATTAGATAATTCAATTTCTTTCTCTAACTGAGCGAGTTTAATTTTTTCTAACTCTATTTTTGTTTGGTTATCTTTCTCTAACTGAGCTAATTTAGCTTTTTCTAACTCATAATTGTTTTTCTTTTCCTCAAGAATATTATCAATCAAACTCTGAACGAAATCACTATCGTTTTTATAAATCTCACTATTTTCAATTAGCTTCTTTATATCAATAACTCTTGCCCCTTCTTCAACTTTTAAACTTAACTCGTCTGCGACGACTTTTAATTCGTCTTTTTTTAGTTTATTAAGGGACATTTTTTAAACACACTAAAATAACTCAATGTAAATAGACAAACTGAATAACTCAAAGTAAATTTTGCACAGTGAATGAAACAAGGGAAATTGCTCTTACCTCAGAATTTCGGCTTCTTTTTTATTGTCACTCACTAAAAATTTCACTCAAAGATAATATAAATTCCATTGTTAAATAACACGAGCATCGTACACATAGTTCGTTCGTTTCGGTATGCACTTTAAATGATTTCCATAAATCACTAATTCGCTTCCGGGTGACTGGACCACATGTTTGTGGTCACTCTAGTCGATAGCTCTAAGTTTATTTCGTAAATAAGAAGAACACTGGTCTTCAATGGACTGTAGTACTTTATTTTTCAAGACACACGGACTACGTCCGCCATTTATGAAGTTCTCAAGGTATATATAAATCTTTCACAAAAAAAGGGTGGCGCGGCAGTCGCACATGCGCGAACACTATACACTAATTCGCCTTGGATGGTTTGTCTGTAAATCACATTATCGATATTTTTATTTCATTTTTATAGCACAGATTAAAAGACATCTGCAGACAAAAATGGCACAGAAAAAAAAAGAAAAAACCCACATAGAGTACAAAAGAGAACATCAGCTGTAGCAAATAATCTTTGAATCTTGCTTGTAGTCCTACTTTAAGTTAAATTGATGCAGATAGATGTTGTTGAAATAAATTGTCTTTATCATTTCTTTATTGATGCATTTAACAATAAATTATTTTAGGTGTTGCCTTATCATCTATTTTATCTGCTGTATACGGAATCACGACAGGATCAACACAAGATATTGTTGGCATATTTATTTGGATCGCTAGAATATTCCCATTTTATTCCTTAGCATCTAGCATCACCAATTTGTTTAACATTGCATTCAAAAACGCATTTTGTGAAGGAATATCACCAGAAGACCTTGATTACAACTGCAACGCAGATAACATAGGGCCAGAAAACGCTTTATTTAAATGCTGCAAAAGTAATTATAATCCATTTACTTAGTATTTAGACTTTATATTTATATTATGTTGACGTTTATAATAGCACGTGAATAAGCCATTGGTAGTTTTGTGAATTAATCTAGGAATGTGCGTCTTTCATTTGACAAAAGCACCGCAAAGATGAAAGTACATCTTAGTTCAGAGCTGCATGAATAGATGGCAGCACCACTCATTCGTGAGGCCACTTCCTCAATTTAGACACAGTTCTGAAGAGGAAGGATTTTCTTCAAATCCTTGTACCCAAGGTGCTGTTAAGCAGCCGACCACAGGACTTTTGATTCCAGAGATTTCATGAGCTCGTATATCCCTTGTACTCTGTGGGTCTTAGTCAAGGATCAAAGCCCAGCTCCTTTGGACTGGAGTCCACTTTTCTAACCACTGGTGTATACCAGCCCTAATATTAAAATTCACACTTTTGAGAAATTATCTACTAAAAAGAATGTAAGCTATCTTAGGGATAATATAAGCTTTCGATCCTAGCATAAAAGCTGAAAAGCTATTTGTTCCTTCAGACTTTCTTAAAGCTTTATTCACAAAACGTGTATTAGACACTTTTGCTTCAATTAATTTCAATCTATTCATAATCATAAAAATGTCATCTCCAAATCATTGCTAAGAAATATGTCATAACCATTTAGTGTCAATATACGTTAATTACGAATTCATTCATGCAAAACAGCGTGTGCTCAAAGCGTCGTATTAATAAAATCTTTTGTGTATGAAATATTGAAGCAAAAATAATCTCATCATTCAGCTGTGGTTTTGCTTCATTAACCCTTTGACACAGATGAGACTCCAGTGATTCTTTTATTTATTTTTTAAAGCTCTAATTACAAGTAAAAATGTATTTTGACATATTTTAATTATATAAAACTGTCTAATAGTAACTAAAAAATCTTTATATTATCGGAATTATATTATAGTATAACAGAAAATCCAAAAAATGTAGTTTGTATTTTTTTTCTGTCATTTTCAAATTTTTTTAAATAATCCATTTTGTAAATTAAAGAAATTTTAATGGTGAATAACTGTTTGTCTTAGATCTAAATAACTGAAAATAAGTGCAAATTTGAAAAAAAAAATTATCACTTGAAAATGAGCCGCGTGAGAAAAATTTTGTTGTTAACGCAGAAAAAGACACGGTTTTCAATGCTGCATTTCCTAACCAAAAATTATTAAAATGCTGAAGATGATATTTTTCACTTATACTGACCTAAATAGATACAAAATAATAAAAAAAAGCATGAAAAATTTACTTGATAAAAATTCTGTGTCAAAGGGATAATGTATTTATTTTGGTCTTGGAATAAACAAAAACTCATTCACGTTTCGATTTTTCTCGTGAATATATCGTTCTTAAATATTGCAAAAATATATAAATAAATTTCAATAAATAAGTTATAACTACTCTCTATTTTTTGGATACATATTACATGCAATCTTTATTGTAGGACAAAAATAAAACCCATGGTATTTGTAACCTTTTACTTTCATTTCTAATAACAATTTTAATTTTATATTCTTCAATTAAAAATACTTTACCCGTTAATTCACAGTCACAAAAAGTAGCCTATGTTGGAAAAGTACCTGCATGAAAAAAGTAGTAGCAAATACTTGTTTACACAAAATGGTTAGTTTTTTCTGCGAGATACTATTTTACATTTAAGAAACAGCGAGATTTGATTTCAGGTACATATATTAATATCTACGCAATTATCATATTATAACAGTTGGAACTGTTTTGTTTCTGAAAAACTAATTCTTATAATTAAGCTATCACTATTCTGAAGAGCAATTGAAAAGTCAAAGTAAGAGACAAAAAAAATCAAATATTTTATATATTTGGCATCTTTGTATAGTAAACTACATATTGCAATTTTTTTTTTTAAAAATACATTTTGTTTTATCTGTTTTTAGAAATTCCATTTAATCTTTCATATCATTAGCAATAGAAGAAAAATAGTTGTCAAGCCAACTTTTCTTGGAATCAATAGTGAAGCATTTACGCTGTTGTTCGAATTGCACTTCAGTGTTCTGTTATTTATTTGCCAAGCACAAATGTATTAATAAATTATAACGATATATTTTTCTGTCCTTATAGAAATATGCGGCAGTGATTGCTTAAACCAAACTTCATACCTAGTTTGGGACAGACAGGCAATTGGACGGGATGTAACGTTCCTAGTGATCGATGGCCTCCTATATTTCACACTCTTGTTGGTGATACAAAATAATTTATTCCAAAAATTCTGGCGGCACATCACAATGAATCTGAGGAGGAAAACGGCTGGTCAAGTATTCCAGTCTGATTCCATCGATGACAGTGGCGTTATTGAGGAAGAAAATCGAGTTCATAATCTGATCAGCACTCATGGTAGCATTGGTACAGAAGCATTGGTCACAATGGATCTTTCAAAAGTATTTAGAAATTTCTATGCTGTTGAAAGATTGAGTTTGGGAATTCATCAAGAAGAATGTTTCGGTCTACTTGGTGTGAATGGTGCGGGAAAAACTACCACATTCAGGATGTTGACGGGTGATTGCAATCCTACCAGTGGCAATGCTCTAACTATTCACACATCTTTATTGGCTGATACGCAAAAGGCAAGTTTCTATTTTGGTCTTTTTAAATTCGTTTAATATTAAAATTAATCTTTCATGTGAAAACCTCAGAAAAAACACTACACATAAAATGATACTAAATAATTTTTTGAAGAGCTAGGCTTTTAAGAAATTGCACGTTTTTGGAAATCATTAATGAAGACATCATTTTTATTTTAGGTAGGAAATCTAAAATATGGCAACTTTAAAAAAATAAAACTTTTTGAGTTGAAGTAACTATTTTAAATTTTCATTATTTCCGTAATTGTCAACTTGCTAAATGAAACATTAAATATCTTTTGTACTTTTCTTTTAAAACTATTAGAAACATCAAACCACTTCAATCAGAAATAGTTTTTTTTTGCAATAAAAATTAATAAATGTATGAAAAGGAAAATGTTTTTATCAATGATACTATTCTAAAACGTTTTCCACAGCACGAAGATCACTAGGTTTTCTACTAATAACAAAACTATTTCAAAATTTTTTTTTGGAGATGAGATATTTTTTTTGCCTTTTTTGCATAAATCCTTAAAAAAAAAAGAAAAAAAATGTCGTCAGAATATGAAAAAGAAAAAAAATTAAAAAAAAAAAAAAAAAACGAAGGAGAAAAATCTTTCGATAATATTTTGCCGTAATTCCAGTTGTTAAAGCTAATACATTTATGTGTAAACTATTGAAAGTTATACTATTTTACGTTTCGAATATATAGGGTTATTCTTAATTCCCTCCGGGGTTTCGAAGCGTTATAGTAAACAAACGAATACGAATATGCAAAAAAGAACATATGAAATTATTCCGAAAGTATTCTAGTTTTAATTTAAGCAGTTGCCGGTAGATGGCAGTACCACTAAAACCAGTTGTAGTAAAGAAAAATGGCGTTTACAGGCGGAGGGAATTATGAATAACCCTGCACATTATGTTCCTTAATCATTTAACAATCTTCCGGAAATCACCATCAATGTAAATTTATATTTAGATAAAAAAAATGAAATTGTTATAAAAACTATATTCACTGGCAGAACTTTGTTACACTCTTTATGAATCTTAATTAAAATTAATCAGATCACATGAATGGTTTATCTGGTGAATAAATTGATATTTTTTATGATTCTTTTAATCTAGCTTTTGTACTAATTGATCTCTATAGAGGAATGTTTGATTTTGATAAAGTTTCTCTCACTATAAATAAATTTTTCATTATTTCTAATGATATTTATTGAAAATGATTCTAACATAATTAGGTAAATGGCAGCTAGTATGGAACTCTGTACGTATTCAATCAGGAGAAGAAAACATTGTATAAAGAAAGTCAACCGAAATATTTTATTTAAAATGCTTTATTTGGCCCACCTTTAGATATTACTCGAGTGAAATAAAACAAAATTATAACTTTAAATGATTTACGATTTCAGAAAACAAACCAAATATCTGAACAAGAACTTACATGTTTGTACAAGTATTAAAAGTGATCTCTCAGAAACCAAAGACGGAGTTTGAAGGAATCTATATCCTGATTAAATTAAAATAAATCGGATCTTTGAATTTTTAAGGGTCTGTTATTTGAGAGTTGCAACTAAGAAAGAAAAAGAATTTTTACGTAAAAATTATTCATGACTAAGGTTCTTAAAAGAAAAAGAAATCAGGAACTGTGAGATAAACTATTAATTTAGAAGTATTGTTTCTACTATCAAAAAGCCTTACCCAAGTTCATATTTTTCTTGATCGTTGACTTCGGATTTTTTCCTCCGTTAAATCTGGGCGATGCAATCAATGATTAGGACTGTTAATAGCTACACTTTTACCATTAATAGTTTTTTTTTCATGAAATGATTTATGGTAGTGATGAAATGAAGTTAAAAATGTATTCTTTAAAGATTTTCTTAAATTAAATGAATATGATTGCATCCGACAATTTATTAGCTTTTTTAAATTTACTGATGTATAAAATAATAATACTTACAATACAAAATATCTTTGAAACAATAAAAATTAAAAAAAAAACAAAACAAACAAGTCAAATTATATACTTTAATGTTTTTTATTTAACTCTATACTTTTCCTTATTTTACTTTATATTCATTAGTTTTATATTTATTTGTGAAGATAGTAGTTATAGACAATGTCAACCTTCATCTATGAAAAGGTACCCGACCATAAAATCGAGTTAACATGTCTTACGTACTAGTGAATTGTAATTGTATATATTTGTAGTGGTAGACACACTACAGTACTCCCCCACCAGAATTATAGCTGTGATAGAATTCGACGAACGGTTACCACTAGTTGATTCATTACGATTTTGTGAGTAGCCGAGAGAGTTGTATTAAGATCACCGTACTTTTTGAGTTCTGATTGTAAGAGCCGTATTAAGTTCACGGTCCTGGTCCCCTCTATGCTGCCTTTAGCAGTAGAGTGTATACGTTGTACGTGATAGAGACTGAGAAGCAACAGCGTGAGGAGGACAATGCCGCAGTTACAAGTAGCAAGTCAACTGTTCACTGTAGATCATCCATCGAAGTAGACGTGCTCAAACCGTAGTGGGCGTTTCTGCTATGGTAGGCGTGTTCACACCACGTCCGGGTCACCAATGTGGAGATAGTGAGTAAAAACAACCATGTCAACCTTTATCTATGAAAAGGTACCTCACCATAGAATCGAGTTAACATGTCTTATATACAGGTGAATTGTAATTGTATACAGTTGTTGTGGTAGACACACTACATTATTTTTTTTTTATATAGATATTTAAGAAAATAAAATAAAACATAAAATCTATTTATTGTTTGATACAACTGTAATAACTCTTTTATATTTTTGATCTTTATAGTTTCAATCATTCCTTGGGTATTGTCCTCAATTCGATGCCTTGATTGATCGCTTAACTGGAAGAGAAACTTTAATACTCTACGGTAGATTGAGAGGACTTACAGGAGAAGCACTGACGGACACAGTTAATAAACTCATCAGAATGACTGATCTATCAGATCACGCAGATAAACAAACCAGTTTTTACAGGTAGGAACATAGCTTAAACCATAATTTGTTACTGGACTGTAATTTGCGTGTTCACGTCACTAACAAATGCATGAATATATTTTTTTCATTGTTCTAAATAGAAGTGACAGCTAAAAAAGACTGCAAAGTGGCTGTTAAGATATAATTATTAGCTTTATGTATCATAAAATTTTTATTTAGATGTTCACAATCTAAAATTTGTTTGAGTCAAAACTTTTAGTTGTAACAGGAAAAAATAAAATATGGAAATTAAGTTTGAAACTATATGCATCAAATTATTTTTTATGTGCTTACTCATGAGATAAAAGTATTTTGAACTAAAAAAATATTATTCAGAAATAATAATTTTTTCCGCTCTAATTTGTAAAAAAAGTGCTACCACTAGAAATAGGAAATTGAAATCATTAGAAATTTGAGGGATGAGTGTTGTATAATGATACGTTTATGCAAAAAAATGAAATAAAATATGTTAAATGCCGTAAAAAAGAATGATATTGCAAATTTTTTTTTTAATTTTTGAAATTAACTATGTTTTCTAATTCACAGAAAAAATTGAAAGCAAAATTTGCTGAAAATAAAAAAGTAAAAGTAAAGAAAAAAAGTGCTAATTTCAATTTTTAAAAGAAATTTTTCTTGCTTTAGTAACATGTTTCAAAAATTACAATTTAGTTTTCACATATCGAGTAGTAGTTCTGTTTTAAAATAATTACCTTTCTTTCGTTATTTTAGTGGTGGAAACAAAAGAAAACTTTCAGTTGGAATCGCACTAATTGGATCACCACCTTTGATTTTATTGGATGAGCCAACAGCCGGAGTAGACCCTGTTTCTCGAAGAAAAATTTGGAACATATTAGCACAAGCTAGAAGTTTCACGAAAGCGGCAGTTATACTCACAACACACAGGTAGGTCTTTAACACCTCATTTCATTTTAGTTTAAAAATTAAATTATTGTCTCAAAATCTCAATTTTTTTTGAACAACCCCAAAACGGGACTAGTCTTATAGCAGGAATAAGGGATTAAAATATAATTATCCATTCTATTCATTGATTTAGAAAAATACTTTTCGAACATAGAACATTCAGAACAGAGCCGCGATTGGCTCAGGGGATAGAGCGTTCGCCTTCCAATGAGGCGAACCGGGTTCAAATCCCAGTCGATACGAATTCCGCATCCGGCTTGCACTGACCACAGTGCTGACGTGAAATGTCCTCAGTGGTAGACGGATCATGAGTCCCCTTGCCGTCAGGTAAACCGTGGGAGGTTCTCTTGGACTTCCTCTCCATATAACGCAAGTGCGGGTTAACTCCATCAAAAAGTCCTCCAAAGAGTCAAATTTCTCCCAATACTCGATCCAGAAATTCCCTTGTCTTCTGGTTATAAATTTTTTTTGAACTACCCGAAAACGGAACTAGTCTTATAGCGGGAATAAGAAAATAAAAAAATAATTATCCATTCTATTCATTGATTCAGAATACATTTCGAACATAGAACATTCAGAACAGAGCAGCGATGGCTCAGGGGATTGAGCGCTCGCCTTCCAACGAGGTGAACCGGGTTCAAATCCCAGTCGATACGAATTCCGCATCCGGCTTGCACTGACCACAGTGCTGACGTGAAATGTCCTCAGTGGTAGACGGATCATGGGTTAGAGTAATCGTGTGAGGTTCTCGTGGACTTCCTCTCCATGTAACGCAAGTGCGGGTTAACTCCATCAAAAAGTCCTTCACGAAGGCAAATTTCTTCCAGTGCTTGATCCAGGAGTTCCCTTGTCTTCTGGATTGGGTTCAAAATTACAAGACTACGGAGTTGAACATTAGTAGTCGTAAACCCATAAAATTGGGTCAGCTGTTCAGCGATGGTTAAAACATTTCTTTTGAACTATTCCAAAACGGGACTAGTCTAATAGCGGGAATAAGGAATTAAAAAATAATTATCCATTTCGTTCATTGATTTACCGCTGTGGCCGGGATAACGTGGTCAGCAGAATGCTGGACTCACGTTCGCGAAAACGGTAGTTCGAATCCAGCCGGCCAAAGACTCCTTGCGTAGTAAATGTTGACGGGTGCTCGTTAAATCTGCCAGGTCACAAAATCCTCCATGTCTCCAGAAGAAATCATACTTCTGGGAGTACAGAATTAGAGATTAATAGTTCTCTGGTTCAGGTCAAAATTACGATCTGTTGATGAAAGAATAAATGAATGGATGTATGAATAGGTCCGTCCTATAAACGGGTGTGACGTATGGATGTGGCAGACGCCAAAGTCTTGGCCATAGGTGGCGCCACTGGAAAAAAAGGGCAATCGCATTCCTTGCCTTAATGGCCTACGACAACCACAGGTATAGGTGTTTGAACTACCATCCTTATGATGATTGCTAAAGTTCTTGTAAATAACTCTTTAAGACTTTCCTTAGAACGCCTGTGAATAACTCTTTAATGTAACAATAGTCTAGTTAAATTGTTAGGCAATTACGAGAATTTAAGAAAAAAAGTCTTATAATAAAAGTAGAGAGAGACGCGAAAAAAGCAAGCAAAATTTTTTTTGCAAATGAGATTCTATAGAAAAATAATAGGGAACTGTGTGCGAGAGTTCGAGACAAAAGCAATTCCGCTAAATGGAAAATCATACGCTAATTAACATCATACATTAGAATCCATTTGACATAAATCTAAATTTTCGATGTCTCATGGAGATCCTTTTTGGCGAGAACTTTTATGTAATTAGTTTAATTACTGTGAAGTTAGAGTTAGTTGCCATAAGTAGCATAAACGAAAATATCAAAGCTGATATGGAAGCAAATTATTATAATAGAAATGAATTTGCAAACTTAGACTACAAATCTTAAAAACTCAGAGGAGTTAAAGATAAGCAAAATACCACTTATATTAAATTAATAAATTGAAAAAAAAGTAGGAAATGGAAGCAAATGATTAAAAAATTTAAAAAATTTCATGCAATTTATATTGCAAATGATAATGTAATATTGCAGAAAAACACTCCATGAAAAAAAATAGTATTTGAATGAAAAAAATAGTATAGCATTTCGCTCACGGGCTGCGATAGTGGCACAACTAAAAAAACACGCGTTTTGTACTAAGAACAGGTGAAAATATAAAAATGCACATTCTGAGCAGCAATACTTGCACAACTTATAATTAAACTTTAAGGTAATCTTCGTTTAAGCAAACGAAAGCATTTCTTAAGCATTTTGCTTGCTTAGCAATGAAAACTTTAAACCCACTTATCTCAAAAGTTCAATTTTTGAGTCGTGCCGTTTTTGCAGCTCATGAGCGATTTGTTATGATGAAATTTTGGATTTTAACTTTAGAAAGGTGATAAAATTATAGTTTATTATTACTTTTTGTCATAGTATGGAAGAGAGTGAAGCTTTGTGCAGCAGGCTGGCAATCATGGTCAATGGTCGATTCCGATGTCTAGGTTCGATTCAGCAGCTGAAAGCGAAATTCGGTCAGGGATATACATTAATAATCAAAATGCGAAAAGAAACCTCAGAGAATCCTGAAAGTGTCTCTGCAATCAAAGTATTTATTGGAAACAGATTAAGAGGTGCTGAATTAAAAGATGATCACCAAGTAAGTTAAATTTAAGAAATTTGAATATCTTAAAGTTGAATATTATTCATTTTGGAGCAACAAATCACTTAAGTTATTTCTTTAAATAGTTGTGTTTTTAGTGTAACCAGTCACACGATTCATTTTTATGAATGTGAATAATCTTAATTTTATTGGCTTAAAAAAGATATTTTTTTACATTACATACACTTCAAAAAATTTCGGATCAAATTAATGTTAAAAGTGCCGGTAAAAGTACTCAGATTTCCGATATTTTTTATTGTGAAATCTATTTTAATCAGAAGATGTTACGGAAAAAAAATCTGATATGCCACAATTTTTACTGTAATAATTACCAAAAAATACCTGAATAACACAATTAAATAAATAATACTGTAAAATTTGCGGTACAATATTTTACGGTAAAAATGGATTTTACGGATGATGCACCCAAAATGCCGGTACTTTGATGTGGAGTGATTTGATTACATTGTAACTTTATATGGGTTTTAGTTGTAATTATGTAACAAAAACCATATATTAGTTGAAAAACATCTTTCATTCATTCAACACAAGTAGTCTCCATTAAAAGATTCTAAATTTTAATAAAGACAATAGGCTAAGTACTACAGTAATTCAGATTGAGGAACTGAAAACTGCATTGGTTATTGAGCTCAACTTTCGATCGGCATAGATTTAAAGCAGGCAAACATTTTGTTCTCTGCAGGTAAATTTAATTGCTTAGATACCTAAATTATTGATGTTGTACAGCGAGAACGTTAAAATGTTCAACCTATATTTTTTAAATAAGAAAGTTTAATGAGTTATAAGGCTCATTTTTAAAAATTAAATCTTTTGTTTCAATGATTTTATTTAAAATCAAGTATTAGGAAAAGTAATTTAAATTTGCCAAATAATGAATTTTGGATAAAACTTTTTAGTGACCATTTTTTTACACGCTATAAGTATGCCTTAAGACATCTAACAAGAAAGGAATTAATATTCTCTTTAAGACGAACTAAAAAAATGTTCTGCTTTATATTGCTATAACGAAAAATTAAAAAATAATTGATATTTGAAGCATGAAGATTTTTAAGTATTTCTAATATTTATTTATATAATTTACACTTACTCTGAAATATTTCTTCAAAGTACTAAAGTTTTACTAGTTTCAAAGTTCTGCTAATTTTTCTTATCACAGCTTTGCATACGCAATTCATATAAAGTCGTTTATACCGTGGTCAGTACTGTTATTTAATTTCTCCTTTTGAAACTTAACATAGTTTACAAGTTCTGTAGAACGGGACACTTCTAGTATTACTTATTAATCACCTGCTGAAAATCTAGCTGCATGCATGAAAAAAAAAATTAACTTGGTACATTTTATTGTACACTAACTGAATTTAACGGCACCGTAAATAATTTAACTCTAAGTTTGTAGCAATTCAGAGATTGAATATATTTAAAATAATTTCAGTAAAAATTTCTGTTTCAATTACGAAATTTTATCAGCGAAAATTTTAAAAAATTGATTTGTAAAACTTTTTTTACAAATCAAAAATCTATGATAGGTAATATGTACCAAAATTTATCGCTAAAATTTGTGACACTTTGCTTTCTTGTTAGTTTGTATGTCTTGATTTTTATGTGTAAAACTTTATTAATTATAAGAGAAAATTGAAATAAAAAATTAGTTTACGTGGAACAGAATAATCTAGACCAGTGGCTCCCAACCTTTTGTGGACCATCGCCCCCCTCTTGGGGATGGCTGACACATATCACCCCTTTCTCTTTTTTCTCAAAAAACCATTCATTGTTGCTTGTGAGCAACCAAACAATGAAAATATGCTATGTTATTTGATTTTAATTTAAATTGTAATGCAAATAAGGAGGCACATTTATCCTGTCATTTTTATTAATTAAAAAAAATTGTGCATCTTTTTTTTCCCAAAAAGAAATGATATTTGAAACAGAATAATCAAAACAGAAGTACATTTCTTTAAATTCATATTTTAATGTAATCAAGAAAAAGTTAAAACGTTAACAACTAAAATTTGAGAAAAAAATGAAGAGTGAGAAAGTACATTTTTATCACTTCAACGACTGCTCTGTGCTTGATGTATTTCAAGTTAAAGCTTGAATGTTAGGTTTTATGCTCGTCAGATTTAAACGCGGGTCTCCTTTGAAGCAAATGTCCAACCTATCTCTTTGCTTTGTGAGCAGCTGGAAGACAGAACTAAATCCTCTCTCCACTAAATATGTTGACGGGAACGAGATGAGAAGCGGCTCAGTTTGTTTCCACAATTGTGGATAAGTGTCCATAAGCTTTACCCAAGCTAACTCGTAACCGTATTTTTTAAAGACGACTTTAGCCTCACAGTCATACTTCAAATCTAAAATCTCAGTCTACAAAGAGGAAGTGAGCTTATCCACAACTTCAAAAGAGAAAGGATCGAAAATCCAATCCGGAATTTCTAATTTCATCAAATCTTTAAATCTTGATTCCATAACTGATCAAGGTGATCAGTAAAAATTAAGATTTTATTTTCGAGAATCTCGATATCTGCCATTGAACACTTTTTAAGAGTTGGAAATTGCATTAGCTCTTTACTACCAATGTTTGACTTGTAGATATCAAACTTGGCGATGAATGATGATATGATTCCCTTAGCCTTGATAATGTTCATTTTATTTCTTGAAGTTTTACGTTGATTTTGTACACATTTTTTCAAAAATATGCGTGAGGTACGCAGTTTTCAACTTGCGTTGCTTCAAACTCTCACTTAAAACAGGATCAGTGGTGTCGAGAAACTCAGTAACCGAGTCAAACAATTCGAATAAACGGCGCAGACAGTTTCCTTTTGAAAGCCATCTCACAGCTGCATGTAGGAGCAAGTCTTCGAAATCTTCATCACTTTCATGACGAAGTTCTCAGAACATAAGCTCATTGAGAGAATTAGCTTCGATTTTATTGATGACAGAAATATCGAATTGTAAGTTGTCATGCAGAGCACCACTCAACTTTTTTGCAGCTAAATGTTGACGATGAATGGTGATGACCTCCGGTACTTCTTTTTTAAGGTGTGCCAGAAACCCAGGATGACAACCAGACATGGTTGGAGCAACATCTGTTGCACAAGCACTTACATTTGTGAGGGGGATTTCTTTTTCCGCAAAATAATCTTTGACCAATTTAAAAATCGACGATCCTTTTGTATCTGTGTTCAAAGTTCTTGTAAACAACATTTCCTCGTTAATCTCCTTACTTCATTTATGAATCTCACGTAAGCTAAAACAGCTTTGTCATCTATCACAGTTGATTTATCAATCTGCAACGCAAATTTACCTTCTTTCAAAAATTTGATGAGTTTTGATTCAATGTCGGCGGCTATCTCATCAGTACGCCTGGAAACAGTATTATTGCTCAGAGGAATAGAGTGACTTATCAGAATTCCGCTTGCGATACCAAAACGTATGACGAAAACGATCCTGCACTTGAATTTTTTTAAATTTTTAACAATCATAATTCTGTTTCTACACCAGAACCATAAGTTTCATATATATTTTCAATTTCAATCTCAAATAGCTTTTGCCATTAATATTATTAGCAATTTTTATCTTTTGAATACTCGTCGCCCCCTGATCGCCCCCCTAAGGATTATCGCCCCCTCGAGAAGCTCTATCGCCCCCAGGTTGGGAACCACTGATCTAGACTATAGAAAAATAAATAAATAAAGACAAAAATTCTGAAATTATAAAGGAATGTTGGAACAAAAAATTGATTCGCATTAAATGGAATAATCTAGAATAGAGAAGAACATCAATAAAAAAAGATTTTATTATAGTTTTTTTTATGTTTTATTAGATTTTAAGAATTTATTTTATTGGAGTTAGGCTTAAATGAAATTGCACCTCCCCATTATAATTCAATATCTTAATACGAAAACCTGACAACTATTTTCCGACTATAAAAACCGTCATTTTTTTAAAAAAAAAACTAATCATCATGTATTTCTTTTTAGGGTATGCTTCAATATCATGTGACTGATCCTAGCGTTCGACTGAGTCAACTTTTTAAACTTATGGAAGAAATGAAATCACAATTCAACTTAGAAGATTACATTATTAGCGATACTTCTTTAGAGCAAATATTTTTGACTTTTGCTCGAGCACAGAGAGTTGTAGAATAACTTGCGACGGATAATATTTTGTTAACTTATATGTATAGTGTATGAAATCTTTTCATGACCTATTGTAAACGTTTTCATCACTATTAGTTTTTAATTTCTTTGCTTTCTGGCTAAGTACGCAAAAAACATAAAAACTGTAATTGATATTACTTTGATCACTCATAAAGAAACTCATAATTTTTCATCTATGTAATGGTATTTTACAATGCTTTCACCATATTTAATAGATAACTTTTCCGGTAAGTATTATTTGGAGCATAGTGTAAACTAAGCCTCTGGAAACCAAAATAACAGCTCTTTTTTTAAAAAAAAAAGTTTGTCCCACTTTATTTCTTCGTATTCGTGCATGAGTTATAACAGACATAACTCATCATTAACTGATGTATCAGGATTTGTTGTTATTATTTATTGTAATTAAAATTGTTATTGTAAATAAAATCATCAATAAGGCTTTGACTAACTTATTTTCTTCATACTTCTTGCCTACATGGCAGAAAAAACATTCATATTTATTTTATTACAAGTGATAGTTTTACTGTAACAAATTTTTTTTAGCGTGATCCAAATGTTACTATTATAAGATTTTAATCCTATTATTATTCAGAGGAAGAGGACTGAGATTTTGGCGAATGTTATCGAGACTTATTCTTTATTTATAGAATTTATTATGTTACTTGACTTACTCACACTGTAGTTTCGTTATTCGACTGCTGTTATGAAGTGATTCTTAATATAATGAAAAATAACACTCATTTTCTACACGAATTTTTTCAATTACCATACATTTTAATTTTAAACGCTTATCATTAAATTAAGGTATATTTATTGTTAATCAAATTTTATGCATGTATTTATTTCTTGGATTTGGGAAAAGCGACATTGTTTGATGTTTTTCCAAAAACATAATAAGTGTTGAACTGAAAAAAAAAATACATAAATGAATAAGTTGGTGAATTGATAACTGAAGGACTGAAAAAATAAATGATTGTGTGATATCTTCCTTTACTGTATATGAGTAAAACAGCATTGTTCAATGCTAGTCAAAAAGCATAATTTTTATAGTTGTCAGTGCATACGTTAATGAATGAGTTAGTGGATGGATGATTAAGCAAATGAAAAATAAATGATTGATGTAATGATCTTCATTTACTGGATACGGGTAAAACAAAACCGTTCAATGTTGGTCAAAAAGCACAATTATTATAGTGTTCAGCGCATACGTTTATGAATGAGTTAGTGGATGGATGATTAACCAATTGAAAAATAAATGATTGAGTGATATCTTCATTTACTGGATACGGGTAAAACAAAACCGTTCAATGTTGGTCAAAAAGCACAATTATTATAGTATTCAGTGCATACGTTTATGAATGAGTTAGTGGGTGGATGATTAACTAAATGAAAAATAAATGATTGAGTGATATCTTCATTTACTGGATACGGGTAAAACAAAACCGTTCAATGTTGGTCAAAAAGCACAATTATTATAGTATTCAGTGCATACGTTTATGAATGAGTTAGTGGATGGATGATTAACCAAATGAAAAATAAATGATTGAGTGATATCTTAATTTACTGGATATGGGTAAAACAAAACCGTTCAATGTTGATCAAAAAGCACAATTATTATAGTATTC